CACACAAACTTCAAGCTAATATCATTACAAATCATTTTCAATCTCCAGTACCTCCAATGTATTCAATAAAAATAGACCATCAACATATCTACTCAATACATTAATTTCTTTAACTTTTTTTGCTCATAAAGGTAAATATGACCCAAGTGACCCATGGGGTTATTCAATTCATTTCTATCCAGCTTCTACCATGCACATCAAAGGTCAGCATTATAATCTATACTAAGATTGTCTACAATTCAGCCCACATCCAAACTTCACATTCAATGCCAATCTTCTTTAGGATTTTTTACTTTATGATATCAAAAAGATTTTAGTAGCAAAAAAAAAAAAGATACCCTTTATCTGGCCTTGGAGATTTAAGTCCTTTCTCAAGGATGTCATAACTTGTACAAACATATTCCGTCTATTTTTTTCAAACCTCACAATTTCTAATCCTTATTCAAAAGTACCAATCTGCAACATGAAAATTGTGCTTCTACTCTACTCTATCAAACTGAAAAAAAAAAATCACATTATCAACAACATAAATTTTATTCTGTCTGTTACATTGCAATGATGATATCTATCTAACTTTGAAATAGAATTAAAAACAGCTATTATAACTACCCTCTTTGTCAATCTGTTTACTGTATCATATACATGTTTATCTTAATACCTTAACATTTGTTAATTTCCCTTCTGGTATGTGCATTTTCTATTTTCACCTACACAAATATGTATGGCAATGAATATCAAAAGTTAAATATGCACATGATATTGCCTCTTTATATGGGAGAGAGAGAAAAAAAAAAAAAAAAAAAAAAAAAAAAAAAAATCAGATTTCACAAAATAGATTCACCCTTTATCTTCAACAACAGAATTGTCTCTCAAAATGTTGTTGGAAAAAATAGTAATTTTATATTAAATTCTTTAACAGTCATCATCTTCGTCATCCTCGCCATCATTCTTATCATTATCCTCACCATCACATCATCATCATCTTGGACTTATCATCATCAACTGCAGTAGCAGGACCATCACCATAATTATCTTCTTTGCCTCATCAATATTTCACTCCCATCTCCCAATTATTTTTTCACCCCTTCCTCAGTATCATCTCATTATCATCCTCCCTCTCCTTCTCTTCCTCCTTATTCTTCTTCATTTTCCTAACCTTTTCATTCTCCCACCCATGTAATTATTGCTTTCCCCCAGAACTTTTAAAACATTTTCTTATCAAGCCCTATGATCCATCATTTAAAAATCTGGTTCGAGGGCCAGGTGATGTGAACGTGTCTTCACGGGACAAAATGGCCATGGGCCAGGGGACAAGAACTTGCTAACACCAGCAAAGGCCAGGGTGACGGAAAAGACTTGCCATGAGTGCACAAACCTCTCGGAGTCAGATTAGATTTATCTGGTATTTCGAAAGGGGCTTTTGCATTATGCCCATCGATAACCAAGTGTGGAAATATGTAATGTTTGTAAGCCATGACCAGAAGAATACCAGGACAAGGGAGGACGCCATTTCCATACTCAGCATCATATTCCTGGCCACTGTGAACAGCAGCGCAGGTTGTATAACAGAAAATTGAAAATTATAAAAAAATAAGATATATACACATGACCAAATGTTCCTTTTTTTTCTTGCACTGAGTTATTTACTACATAGAGAGATGATATGGAGTCCATGCAAGGAAAATAATATATTACCATCATGATAAGTAAATCAAAAGACAAATATTGATATTGAAAAATGCAAAAAAGCTCCAAAAGTATGCATAAAATTACTTTGCAAAGGGGAGGCATAGAGTCTTGTCACTGCTCATGAGTGTTTGCGTGCACCGGGAGAGCGGCCACTTATGTAACCCATTGCTTGCGTTTTTGGTCATGTGATTGCCATGATGCAACCAGATCCAGTGGGTTTATCTTTCTTTCTTTCAGCTATTATCATTATTTTGCTTTTTCTACACATTCCTCTTTTCCTCTTTTTTTTTTTTTTTTTCCTTCTTTTCCTGTCCTTCTCCATAGTATCAAACTATTCTCTTCTGTCAAAGTTTCAGCAACCTCCATCTCCTCCTACCTCTTCATTCTGACTCCTCCTTTTTCCTCCCTCTTTTTTCTCAATCTTCTCCATCTCCTCCTCCCCTTTCTCCATCTTCTTCCTCCTCCACCTCCTCCTCTTCCTCCTCCTCCACCTCCACATCTGACTCCTTCTCCTCTTCCTCTTCATCCTCCCACTCATCCTCATTCTCCTCTTCTTCCTCCTCCTTCCACTAATCATCCTCTTGTTTCTACTCCTCACACTCCTCCTCCTCCTCCCATTC